AAAAAAAAACATTTTGGACTTGAAAATTTTTTCTCCCAGAAATTTTTGTATCTGGTTTATCCTACTGAAAAGACTGCCTTATTTTATACAATATTTATACAGTACATCCCACTGTGCAACTGCAACAGACATCTGGAGTTTTTATTATAACATAGTCAGAAGGTTATGTTCAAGTAAATCTCAATATTTTTATAGACAATGAATTTTACACTGGATTTGCAGCAAATGAGATCAACCATTATAGCGATCTGAATACCTGTGAATGGGACGGTCACGCTGAGCACGTATACAGAGAACTATATGGTTAAAGAAGGATGTGGATCGCAGAGTTGTCTATCACTGTCTTTAAGCAGTCTCCTAGAGGCCAGCTTGCATTGATTTTTTGATCAAACATCATTCTATTTTGGCCACTTGTCCAACATCCTTATGCACAGACCCAGGGAACAGCTTTTTGTTCAAGGTTGGATTCAGATTAGGATACTAATATATGTTAAAGATTGTTGCTTATTAAGAATATTTCCTCTTTAAACAGTATATAAATGCCATAACAGCTAAGCAAATGGTGGTTAATAAGATGTATTGACCATGATTATCTTTGTTTCTCTCTTATGACAGAATTGTACACTCAATCAGGGGATTTGTTTGTTCCTTCTGATTCACATTTTGGTCTGAAGGCACGGAAAAAAAAAAAATTAGAAACTATTCAATGAAAAATAAAATAATGTCAATTATGTTGTTTGCTGTCCATTTCCTGCACTAATTCCCTGTCTGCTCTCTTTCCTGTTTTCTTTCTGTCTCATGAGTCAGTCTTTATTCGCCTTAGTGCATATTTGCACTGTTTACCTGTCGAACCACCACTTACTTCTTTAACTTTGAATTATTTAAACTTTTAGCAAGACACAAAACAATCAAACCTTTTAGTTTTTTTAATGGAAGCTTTGGCTCTGGCTCAGCAGCTACACCTGCTGTAAAAAGGCCAATAGGACGCTGAATCAAACGTGAGATTCTTCTTCTAGTCTGCCATAGAGTTCAATAATGAGCTAGAAACAGATCTCAACTTTGGTGGGAACAACCATGAATGTCTCTTGCAAATCATTCTGCATTTGTCATATGAAATACTTAAAAGTATTTTTCACAAGACCACAGCAAAGCTTAAACCGACTGCTGCTACCCCCCACTTCATCCAAAGTTTTGAACCCCTGACGGCAAAATAACATCATATGTCACTTCCCTCCGAACTGTTCCAAATGACAGTTACATAAATGATCCACATTTTTCACAGCTTTTTGATCTGCCACATAAGATTAAAGCAAAAGCAACAAGAATATGTAACTTGGGTTGGACACGGGTGACTGTGGTGAGGCAGAATTCTAAAATAACGCCGAATAAATTTCTTCCTCTAGTTGGGCACAAAAACGATGAAAGATTAGAAAAGGTTCTGTTTTGGTTTTTAGAAGACTTGAGGTTTAGGAACAATATGGACAGCAAAACATAAGCATATCTCATTTTAAGATTGATACATATGGTTCCTTTCTCGTCTGATTTGTGTGGGATATTTACTGTTTCTTAATTTGTTATGCACACTGAATGCCATACTGTCTGTGTGAACAAATTGTTTCACATTACTTGCAAATCCAGAAAAGAAATGACAAGGGGTGCTCATTTATTTTTTTGTCAGACAGACAGACAGATAGATAGATAGATAGATAGATATTTTACTGAAGGACATTACTCAGTTACAGCATATACAATCGTAGCCACGAACCCACATCTAACAAAGAACATCAAACATTTTTGACACAACTATTCAAGGAAGAACTAACATGTACTGAGTACTTAGACAGAGGTCATGAAATTATTTGTAATATGGGCTGTGCAAAATATACAGTATGGAAAATATGAATTGTTTCAAAAGTTGGGAAAATCTCTAATTTAAAAAAAATATATACAGTGTGCAAAATAACTTGCATATATCCAGTGTGCATGAAATGACTTGCATATCCAAATCGTCAATATAACATTAAAAAGAAACAAAGAAAGATGTGGAACAGTCTTAGAATACATGTAACACATGTACAGATGTATGTAATGTTAACATAAACATTGAGGTTGAAAGATACACAAAAAACAAACAGTGAATTGATAATGGTAGTTTCATGGTCAGTCCTTACTTTCCGAATGTCAGAAGAATAATTCAGGTTGAGACAAAATTACAGAAACAATAGAAACAAGTGTTGGAATTTGTAATGCAATCCCTGACAAAGTCTTTTGTCTTCAGTGCATTTATACAATCAAACAAGTATTTTTTTAAAGCACAATGAGACGCATCCATCCATCCATCCATCCATCCATTATCTGTCCACCACCTAATCCTCACTAGGGTCATGGGGGGGCTGGAGTCTATCCCAGCTGACTTAGGGTGAAGACAGGGGACACCCTGGACAGGTCACCAGTCTATCACAGGGCCACAATGAGACGTGAGACAGTAATATATCTTACTGTTGTAAGGATAAAACAGTAAGATAACTGATGTTTATGCCCTTCTGGATATTGCACATCACTGAAAATTAACAAAAATGTAGTGGTTTATAGCAATATATATATATATATATATACATAGTGCTTTAACAAATGTATTAAAACACCACCAATTAACAGCATTAATAATTATCAAAATATTTTTTCTCTGTAATGGTTAATACAGTATGAAAATAGTATAACACATCATTATTTCTTGATTAAGATGTCAAATTATAGTTATTTACTTGCATTTCTGAACAGACAAAGTAGTTCTAATGGTTGAATGTTATGCTTGATTCATGTCTGACTTCTCAGAGCAGCCCAGAGAGCTCAGGTTTGAGTGTAAAGAGGTGAATCCAGTTTGAAACTCCTCATTCCTGTTCAAAATGGTAAAATGTCAAGAGATGAGTGCGTATTAAAGCCCTTTATGATTCTGAATGGTATATATATATACACACATTAGACAGGTGGTCTAATAAATTCGTTTAGAAGCACTGCCTTAACTTAAGATTTTTATATACTTAACGTTACATTTTTAAACCAAGTGACTGAGGAGTGAAGACTTTCCATATTTAACGTGCTGTATAGTAAGTGGCACTTTTTAAATTATTATTACTATGATATACAATTGCCTGTTAGTTATCCAGAGTCTTACATAACATGAAAACAGCTCAGCTTCCGCCAGGTCAGACTTTGCGACGAGTCGTCAGAAGAAGTCGCCGGCGCCAGACAGAGCAGACCGATGGCTGCGGTCTTTCAGCGTCAACTATACTAGAAACTCTTTTAATTTTACCGCAGATTGAGTGGAGTGGTGCTATGTCTTCGGGAATGACTGGGCAAACACCGTAAGTGTCTGATTAGATGATTAGTTTTAGATAAACATTGGTATGTTTGGCAGAGTTATACGTTTTGCTACATATCTACACCGAACAGCAAGCTAGCCAGCTAAGCTAACGCAAGCTGCGGTGTTTGTTAATCTGATGTTAGCCCAGTTACCCCCCAAGCTAGCATACATTATCCTGGCCTGCTAGCAAACGTTAGCTTGCGGTGTATTGTTTGTGCAGGAAAAAGTGTATACGAGTTAGTTTTCTTGAGTTTATGTTAAAAGAATATTTTGATACTATATTTATTTGAGTCCCAAATTGATTTGTTGGTAATAGAAACATCCAAAAACAGGATTGTAACTTGCTAAGTTAGCTAGGTTAGCTTAAGCTGCAGTGCTTGTGAATGCTAGCATGCTTTAGCTGTTGTTAGCTTACCTCTGAACAACGGCTGTTTATTTGGTACTAAATAGCTTTGATATGTTTAGTTTATAACACAGGGTTTTAAGCGAAAGATCTTTGAAAAATTAAAATATTCTGGTATATATAATATCTATAGTAGTACAGTATATGATTAGTTACAATACACAGCCATTAACCAATGTTACCGATGTCGTTTCAGATGTTGAACATGAAGTTTAGTCGTATATTTTAGAATATTTACTTGCACGGATATGTTCAAACAAGCGCAGGCAACGAGTGCAGGGTCCCTCTTCAGTTTTCCACGTCACAATTTGGTCAACAGTGGTATAGTTTGGTCTGCATCGGGCACTAATGTGATAGTTGAGCCCTACTGCATTCCCATCCAAAGACATTGAAGTTGTCTTTTCATTTATTTTAAAGTGTCTCACGATTCGACTAATATTCAGCAAACCATATTGAAGAATAAAATGGATTCGCAATTTTACTTTTACATCACACTTTATTTCTGTTTTTTTTTTTGTTAAATAGTGTTTTATACCTGTATTGTGTTGTGTTTTATTCTTATCCTCAGGTGCCTAACCAGCCGTTGGGATCAGCCAGCCCAGCCTAAACAGAGTGTAGATGTTCGGCAGCAGAGGAGTAGTGAAAATGCAGCACACCCTGTCTCTTTATCAGGAGTCGTCAGCACTGCTGGGCCAAACAGCACAGTTTCCCAGCCACCAGAAGCGGGAGGGAAGCCAGCACCTCAGGGAGGAGTTGAAATGGCTGCAGCAATGGCTGCTAAGATAAATGCCATGTTGATGGCAAAAGGAAAGCTGTTAACACCTCCACCGTTACTTGCAAAGGTGCATGTTTCAAGAAGCTATAGCAAATCACTGTGTATTGTATTTGTTTTTGCAATTGGAAGACTTACAGATTTCTTTGCTGTTTCATGTTTTTTAGACTCCTCCAGTTGTGCCTGTCCTAGCTGCTACAGAAGAGATGGTGGTCACAGAGGTTGACATAAATGATGTACCATTAAATTGCAGGGATCTTCTTACTAAAGGCAAAACACAGGAGGAGGTAAGTGAGAAGGGGCCATGGCATGTTTGATGTCCAACACAAGTTGAGAAAAAAAAACATTTTGACAACTTGGGAAAAAAAGATACACTCCTAAAACCCTCTTCATCTTTTGTCACATTTTGTATTCTCTTTATTAGATTCGACAGATAAGTGGTGCTGTCGTCTCAACAAAAGGTCACTACATGACTGATACTGAAAAGGGAAAAGGAGGAGGGTATGTATTACCACTCATGTCTCAAAGTGATGTCTAACAAAAGTCGTGCAAGTAGTAATTCATAATGGAGAAGTAAAGTTTGACATCACCCTTTCAGTTTGTAACGAGCTACTAGATGACTAAACATGTTGTATTTGTTTAAATCAGCGTCCCACTAATTGCAATATTCAGCAGCAGTGCAGCATCAAATAAAAGTTTTCCAGTGATAATGTGTAACAAAAGAACAGATGTTTTGAGGGTGCGGAAGTTTTGTGTTGTTCATGACCTTTCTGATTTGTGTTCTTTCAGACAAAGACCTTTGTATTTGCATGTCCAGGCAAAGACACAAGAGCAGGTCAATAGTAAGTATTGCCTTTTTTATCTGCTTGATATGCACAGTGTAGCATTGTGTTCATCTAATGCCTTTCAGAAATGTTGTAGGCACTCTGGGGCCTGTGTTTGTGACAAGAGATAGTATATGGCAATTGTCCAAACGCTGACTTTTCTGCAACATTAGAGGCTGTGATGAAGATAAAGGAGATCATCTCTGAGGATGTGCTGAGGGCCTCAGCAGCATCAGGAGGAACGCAGGTGCCTGTAATGCCGCCGCTCACCCTCTACCCCCAGCCTCCTCGACCCGTCATTCCCACTGCTGTGCCACGGATGCCAAACGCCAACTCACTGCCAGGCCAGGGACATCGGCCTGCAGCCCCTCATTCAGGGGTAGGCAGACAGGATGTCTCCAAACAGTCATGGCACCAGTGTAAAGTTTTCTGACAATTATATACTAACTGTTATCATAAACTGTTAAATTCATATGTTCCATAAACTATGATAAATGTGCCTATCCACACTCAGTATATCATTTAGTTCTGAACATGGGTCTGAGAACAATAAAGCAATTATGCAGATGCATAATTTTGCCCCATTCCGTATCATCCAACATACAATTAGGAATAAACTGTATAAAGTTAATTATGTAGACTAGGTGACCTGTGTTTAATAATTATTTTACTTGGCAAGTTATGATTTTGCAAATGGAGGTCAAGAAAGTGAGGCAAATGAAGATTATGTTGCCTTCACTGATACCCACCTCCAAAATTAAGTAGCAGTGAGAACATCCCTTGTCTACAGAGAGACGCCACGGATTACTGCATCTGCTTACAAAACTCTTCTACCTACAGTCAAACTTATTGATTTCAATGAGCAGCCTACATTTGCAGGGTATATTAATAGTTCACTTTTTTTTTCTTCATCCTCAGAGCTTTGTGCACACAAAGATTTTTGTGGGTCTAGACCAGGCATTGCCTTCATTCAACGTAAATGAAAAGGTCGAGGGTCCAGGAGGTTCCTACTTGAGCCACATCCAGACAGAGACAGGAGCGCGAGTCTTCCTCAGGGGAAAAGGTTCTGGCTACATAGAACAGGCATCAAAACGAGAATCTTTTGAGCCTCTTTATGTCTACATCAGGTACGTTCATTCTGAGAAAAAAATAGTCGTTTTCTTGCTTGATGTGAGTAGTTATTTGTCTCATTAAAGTAATGATACGCAAATTTAAATCTATATTGTGTGCTTTCACTGTGCACTTTGTCCATATAAATGCTAAAACCTCTTTCTATTCACTCTCTGTTAGTCCTTAACTGAGTCTGCTCCACACCATTTAACAATTGTCCATTGTGTGTTACAGCCACCCAAACGCAGCTGGATTGGAGTCCGCGAAGAAACTCACTGAGAGTCTGCTGGAAACTGTAAGTCTGTAATACTGTCCCCATAAATATATTAAGCTATGGAGTTTATCGGACTTGAATGAGAATCTAATGGGAGGTATAAGAAAGTGAAACTATGAAGGCATATAGTTTTCACTGATACCCACCTCCAAAAGTATAGTGGTAGTGTGAACCACCTGATCTACAGAGATAGGTTTTGAGTGCTCTGCACCTACCCACAATCTCACTGCTGAAAATAAATCAACACAACCTTTGTGGAATTTTGCCTGCCTTGTTACATAATTATTGCTTTTTCTCATTTTTCAGGTGAGAGCTGAACATGCCCGACTGGTCTCAACTTACACAGCGACAGGCTCAACACAACGTAAGTATTCTTTTATGCCTTGTAACTAAACAGGCAAATTCCAACAGGGTGACCAAGTATCAGGTACTGGCTGACTGCATTCTTCGTGTGGTAATTAATCCTCCCATGACGTCTTTAGTAGCCCAACAATAGGTTGAAGTAGTAGGTCACAGTTGTCAAAAACACCCTGTTATTGATCCATGTGATATATGCTATTAACTCAGCGTTCTATACTTTCATTTCAGCATACGCAGCACATGGATTTCCACCTAATAGCAATTACTCTAGCCAGGGGTCCTGGTATAACTACCCAGCAAATGGGTATGCTGGCGGCTATTCAGCGTACCCAGGAGCCAGTGGTTATTGGAGTAATGCAAATGGTCCCCCAAGTCATTCTAACATGTCGACAAACCCTCCATCTTCTCAGGCAATGGTTCAGTATCCGGTGTGTCCTAGGAAACCGCATCCCTATCTTGTCCAGGTAATTACTAAGGACTAAAGCTGCTACTACTTGATGTTTTTAGTACTTATGTATTAGTTTGTCAACTTGAGGGTTTATGTCAATCAGATCATGTACCAAAAGCTCATTTTGAATATTTTAAATTGTAACTGTCAAGGTTTTAGCAGTAGTAAGTCAGTCACTAACACTGTAATAATCAAATATATTAAGTTACGAGTTTCAGCACTAGTTTACAGCACAACCATATTGAAACATCAAACCTGTCAAGGACATTAAGGAGATTTTTTATTATTTTTTTGGGTTTATCCTGTGGCAGCATCAGTGTGTATGTGTTGTTTTTTGCTCTACTTAAGGAACCGGGCAGCAGTGAGAGTGTGGAGCCTGATGGATCTTTAAACAGCCCCTCTGACTCAGGAAGTCCCAAACGTCATTTCCAGGAGGGGGCTAAGGATGAACAGGTCAGCTGAACAGTAACGCGTGTATATCACTGAAAGATATTTCTGGCCATTTTAACATAAATATGCCTATTGCTCATTAATTGACCTGTTTAGATTACTACAGTTTACCTGTTTGGTCTTCACCATTCACAGAGAGCACTTTGTCTTTTTTAAAGCACATTTCTAAATGCTTTGATTAAAATAACCTTCAAATAGATGTTTAGAATAGTTTTAATATTGCCTTGTTAGTTGCTGCTGTCCATATTTAATTACTTCAGACAGATACCAGATGTGTGTAGCTCTGTATTAACATATTTGAAAGGAACATAATGAGTATGTGTTACATCAACGCAAGCTTTTAAATAGGATTATTGTTATCCTTCTGCACATCTCAAGTTGTATAATATGTCAAGATGTACAATCTCAGGCAATTCATTTCCATATTCCTGAACACTGGAAATATTTCTTTTACTTTTTATGACTCATAATCCCTTGATTATACTTAGTGCTAATTTGAATTGCAACACTTTTTTAATCTACATGTTAGTGTTTTCTGTTATGTACTAAAACACCAAGTCAAATTCCTACTTGGCAGTAATACTATTTCTGATTGTGATTTTAATATTGATGAAGTAAAGATTTCATTGTTCCTGTGCGTGCAAGAGAACACCGTTAGCTGATGATTAAACACAGACTTCTTGTTGCAAGTACAGCTAAGAATGAGAATAAGGAGTAAAAATAACCTGCCTTAAACATTTGGTAAGGTTTTCTTGTGCTGAAATGTATTTCCTATGGGGAAAACCTTTGCTTTACATGTTAAAGCTTTGAAAAGCCTTCAATGCTCTGTCATTTTTCTGTTTAGCCGGCCAGCAGCTCGCCAGAGGGTCCTGCTCATCAGAAGTCCACTCCTCCTTCATCCAGCATTGGAGAAGAGAAAGTAGTAGAAAGGTCTGATAGTGGATCATATTTCCTTTGCATGTTATTCCTCACGAATCCTGTGTAGTGTAGATATTAATGTTTTTCTCTCTTCAGGATTCTGATGCCTCCGCCGCCGCCTCCCTTCGTGGCTCCTGCCCCTGTTACACGCAAAAGGCTGAGAGATGCAGTGACAGACGACCCAGCTACTCTGTCCAGCAGCGCCGCATCAATGGGTATGCGTTTCTTTATTTCCCGATATTCTGAGAGCCTGAGTACTGAGACATTTCTTCTGTGGAGTTGTCTGTTGCATGTAATGGTATCTCCCCCCATGGAGCAATGGGGGAGGAGTGGAGACCTGTGTGAATCTCTCCACTGGTGGAACTCACTAACATGCTCTTCTTGTATATGTTTTTTGTCTTTCCCTTGTTTTCTCTCTCAACATGTGTCCCCGGACCTGCCTGTTATGGATGTGTGCTCTGCTGCCGTTTCATTTGATATCTTCCCTCCCCTGGCTGTGGATCAAACGAACTGAAAAACCATCGCTAATATGGGGCTCCTCAATGGGTTTCCTTTTTCGTTTTGTTTTCTTGCTTTGTCTCTCCCCCTCTCTCTTTGCCTTCTGTCTCCCCCCACTCCCCCCTCTTTCTTCCTTTCTCTGTCTCTCTGTTTTTATTCTGCCCTTACAGGTGTTCAAGAGGAGGTGTGGGAGAAGAAGTCTAAAGTGGACGAAGATACATCAGGACTAGTGCCGTATGGAGGAGATTCCTCCGACGAAGAGGAGGAGAGGACACACAGCAGTAAGACCGATAACTCATAACCTCTGCCCTGCCCCATCCCCACTGTCCAGGATACTCACAGACCCAAAGTCTACACTCAGTATATCAACACGGTTCTCAAACTCAAACTCCACAGAGGGAAAAGTCCACCCTTGTATTACCATACACTGTTTCAGGACTATGCCAGTGTTTTACTATGTTTTACCCCATTCACAACAAAATAATATTCTTTGACCGATGAAATGTCCACTCTTTAGACATTTTTTTCCTTCTCAGCTGATATGTTTTTTTTTTTTTGTTTTTTTTTATTCCTATGGGTTTTAGGGGCACTTCTATGACATCTCTGGTAACACTTCAAGTTTTGTTATCCATTTTAACACTTTAAAGATACAAAAAAAGGACACTGTCAGTACACTTGGGGTTTATAGTCTTAAAGTGCATGATTAGTAAGCAGTCTGAACATGTAAAAATTACTGACACGGTTATGGAATTATAACCAGTTTTTGGTGCTTTACTGGACTCTTAAGAAACGTGTTTTTATTTCCTAGTCCTTTTTGTAGATTTTCATTTCATTTGGGAATTTGAAAGATGGGGTTTTAGAAATATCTAATCATTTCTAAAGTGTTGATCTCCCTTATGTCAGTTCTGTATTGAGAGCCTTTTTTTTCTTTAAAAAAAAAAAACTGAATCTAAATTGTACACTTCCCAGTGTTTTAAAAAGCAGAAAAAAATCTGTTAACAATAACCTTTCAAAAAAAAAAAAAAAACAGATTGAGAAAAGTAAAGCACATCATCAGTTGCCACTTTCAACAGTGTGTAAGTATTCAGGGTGGGCTTTTCCTTTTTAAAGATGTGAATACAATTGTATAATAATTACAAATTAATTTTGTTTTTTTGGAAATACTTTTATTTCTTTTTTTTTCCATGAATTTTTTTGTTAATCAAAAACAAGCCCTTTTGAATTCCAACACCTGGTCTGCTGCAGTTTAAATACATATTGTACAATTCAGTGAAACCTTTTCTTATCTTGGAAAATGGTGTATGCCTGTTCCCATGGAATACTATAATAAAAACAACTGAAAATAACTTATTTTTGTGGGTGAAGGTGCTCAAATTATTTTTAATGAATATGGGTGCCCCCAATGTTTGGGTTTTTTTTTATTATCGGGGATGTCATTTAGGACTTTAGTAAGTATTACAATGTATTTCATGTCCCACTTGCTCTAGAGTTTATTTTATGTCAATACTACAATAGATATGATTTCTGGTGTCAGATGAATGCGTACTCCGGAGCTTCTATGCCGTTGTGCACAGTAAGAGCTCCGGGGTTGTCCAGGCTGAAGCAGGGTTGGACGTAATTTTGGAAGTGACAGTGGAAGGTGTGAAGGTGTTGTTCCAGATTCACATTAAAGAAGGACAGAGTACCCCTGTCGTAGTCGAGTGCCAGTCCGATCCGCACTGGGTTCACTGTAATCCTCAAGTCAGGACTCCAACCGTTGTGCAGAAACTCATATTTATGCCTTTAAAAACAAAAAAAAAACAGAAGGGTAACACTGATTTTTGTGTAGCTGAGATGTTCTAAATATAAAGCTTTATCTCTCATCCTGTTGGGATCATTTTCCCCACTCTGTCAACCATTAGGAAAACAGATGCTGAATAATGAGCCAGCAGCAGGATTTCAAATGGCTGCAGATTAAAGAAAATGAGAAATGTGATTGTTAAATTGCGCGTAGGCAGAATCAACAAGAAGATGCCCCTACAATGGGAACCACATTCAGGGCTTGCGCGATATGCTGCTCTGAATGATTTGCAAAATGTGATAATTCATCTGTCCTGCTTTGTTCCAATAAGGGTTGCCATGGAAACGCTTAGAAAGTAACAGATATTCAGCTGTGGGCTTTTCTACCTTCAATGGGCTTAGTTTTCCAAAGAGCGGATGCAGAATTTTTTATTTATTTTATTTTTTTGCTTAGGAAAGGAAAATTTCTGAATGCCAAAAATACAATCCTGGCCCAGTTTCCATGAACTGCAATACTCGTCCCTCAGTGGATCAGGATGTTATTTCTGGTATCTGATGGGCTAAAAATCTACTTTGTCTGTGTAGTTCTGCAAAAGTCAAAACCATTTGCTTTTCTCCAGCTTGTGCAACAAATGGGAATGAATGTATCTGAACATATCACTGAGCAACAAACCAAGGCTACTTTAACCCTTGTGTTTAGTTGAAACTTCTGAAGATAATAAAACGCAGATATGACTGTAAAGCACGGCGCTAAATGCGTAAATATTTCATGTTTTAGAAGTTACATGGGCTGTGCGGGGAATATGAAGTCTGCTGAATAATCATTCACAGAAAAATGGAGTGTTTTCTCCTGTGGTTCATTTTGGGGATACACTTAATTCTTTGTATGGTCAATTTTAACCACAAATATAGAGTTTTGTATTTAACCCCAAACAGAAGCACCTGTGTCCTCTGCAGGCGACATCTCAAGAATGTGACTTTTTGTCTGTTCAAGATCATGTACATGAGCAATACTCACACAGATAAAACTGTTTAATATAACTCCGAACTACAAAGATGGTTTCTAGGACTCCAAACATAGCATTAGGATTAATAATATCCTGCTGCTGTTTGATGTGATGTTACCTGGACGGACTAAGAATGTGTCTCATACACCAGGAAGTACTGTTGGCCCCGAGGTATGAGTTCCTCTCCGTGTCCTCGTATGCAACCCCGATACGAAACTCAGTCCCGTCGTCCACCTCGACCTCCCAGTAGTGCCTGCCTCGCACTGGAATCAGATCTCCCAGGACAGCCACACATCTGTACAAACACACACTTGTTGTAACATATCCACTGGTCAACAATTAAAGTTCCCCTTTATGTTCAGTTACACATGCTGTTTACTCGACCTGGTAAAAAAAGTGTTGTCATCTAGAGCCATGGCACTTATAGGCAGTTCCTCATCTCCGTAGAAGATGGTGAAGCCGTCCTCTGAGATTGACAGGCAAGGATGGGCAGTGTCCTCCAGCAGGTGGAAGAATGTACCTGCACAGGTAAATAGACATTGTTAGACGTGACAAAAATACAGGTGGAATACAAGAGAGTACATTTTCTGAAGGATTTCAAATACCATATGCTGCTACTTAAAGCAACTACAAACACTTCATAGCTATAAATCATATATGCATACATGCTCTTTTACAGCAATGATGTGGCAGGTAATGAAGAATCAATGCTGAAGGATGAATAGAAACAACTGAAATGGTGAACAACGTAGAAGCTAATAAAAACTAGTCCGAAGCAGTAGGAGAATTAGAATTAAGAATGTGTGCAAGTTTTATACATCAAAATAAAGCGTAAAAACAAAATTTGGTCATAGGGGATCCAGGGAATCCTTGGACTTGTTGTTGTTTCATTTTTGGATAATTAATAATAATCTCAATAATTAATAATGCTGTAGGGTTCAGCCACAATATTTCTATTTACTAAGTTAAATTCTAATACGTTGGGTCTTAGCTATATTAATACTTTCGTTATTCTCTAAAATTAATAGCAGTGTAGTGTCTCAACCTTTTTTGTGCATTATGATCTAGTAACGCAGTATTTTATATAATTTTTGTCAGGTTTTAATCCCTAATCCTTATTAAATAATCATCTTAACTCTCTATTTTCCCTTGAGAGGTTACTTTCAAAATGCCCATCATAATCTTTTTTTTTGCTGAGGGCTGCTTTAATCCAACAGCTGTTGCCTTAAATATGTTGCATAATTTAAAAAAAAAATTTTTTTTTTGAAAAAAAAAAAAACTTGACAACTGATTTCTGTTTTTAGAGGGAACATCCAATTTATTTGTTTGAATGTGTTGATTTCAAATGGTGCAACACAGTGTTATTGTTAATAGTTAAAAACCATCACAAATTCTGTATAATAACTGCTAAAAGCTACTTTCACTCTTGATGTTGATTGTATATGTTGCTGCTCGTAAATCAGACATGTTTACTGCTAATGAGCAATCTTTATAACTCACCAATGCAACTCTGGTTTAAACTAATGATCCGAGCAGTTGTTCTACTGGCCAAAAGCACCATAAACAGGCTGATCCGAGGTGGTTTTCTTGTTTTATTTTTTTTACCTGTTGTGGAGACAGTGGTATCGCCGCTCCTGACGCTGGGCCCGCCGATGTTGACTGCTCTCACTGAGATGAGGTAACGTCGTCCTGCCTGCAGCTGGATCAGACACTGACAGGTGGGCACGGCTACTATAGACCTGGAGGGGATCAACCAATAGGACAGCAGCCTGACTGAACTTCCTTTTTATATTAACTACAGAGTAATAACCACTGTCAGAATTTGGCTTTTATTTCCCAAACCTCTACCAAAGTGTAAAGCCATGAAATAACATCTTGTCATATGGTTTTTGAAATACTGGCCGGATAAACTGGGGTGGCTAAATAGGGAATTTGTCATATTCGGACTATGAGCCTGTTTTAGTGAAGACAGTTTATGCAAAACTATACAGACTTTTCCAATAAATCGTTTGACTGTTCTCTGAAGTGACCAGATGAAAAATGAAAATGACCCCAAATGTGAGGACAGTATTCTATCCGAGGCTAACAGTGCTGCAGGAGCTGAAGCTAAGAATAGATTTTTCTAGGACAGAGTGTGTCTTGATTCAGCAACTCTATAACCATGGGACCTCAAAAATCCCAGGCAAGCACTAACACTGACTTGTTTATGGAAGTACTGAAGCAAAAGCCTTATTAAAAGGAAAGGCCGGTAAAGACAAACATCACAGGGTGCTGCATCTTTGAAACTGTGCATATCCAGTGGAGCTTTTTTCTATTTTTACTCAGCTATTTTAACTTTATCTTTTTGAGGGACTTCTTCTGAACAGCAATGTCGAGGACAGCACAATGGAATCTTGCCGCCGTGTGTCGATAACACAGTTCTTACTCAGTAATACCGCTCCCTGTGCCATCAGTGCCCATCTCGCTGAGCTCCACAGTGTAAGAGTCGACAGGGTTGGTGTTTCCTGACTCCCAGCGAATCAGAGCGGCCTCTGGACAGCTCGTACACTCCCTCTGCTTGATCACTGGAGGCGACGGCACTGGAGGAGAGAGCATTTAATCTCTCTAATGTCAACCGTGCAAAATCTGGTGCGATTACAAAACAGAGCGACATACATCTAAAAGTGATTTCTGTAGACACTGTGGGACAACAAAACAATTATTTCAACTGTCATGAGTTTAACCGTGCAGTTGTAGGCGTGTGGCGTTTATTACCTGTCATGTATAGGGCCTTCTCGCTCGCTGGGCTGATGCCTGTGGTGTTGGTCGCCGTCACCCAGAGCTCATACTGAGCGTTGGGCAGCAGATCCGTCACTGTACAGTGGGTCTCCTTCACTTTTACCTTGCTCTCTGAAAAGCAGAAACATATTTCATTATGGCTGCTCTGAGAAAAAACAAGTTCAGAGACATCAGTAGCTGTAGATGTGTAATCACGCCATGTGAATCTGCAGGCAGTAAGTCTGCGTCGTACCATGTGGTGCGCAGGTGCTGTCTGCCGGCGTGTCCTCCAGCACCGGTCTGTAGTAGAGCTCGTAGTACTCAACCGTGTCATCAGAGAACAAGCTCCAGCAAACCCGCAGGGACGTCTGGGTGGCAGAGTTGGGCATCTGCGGGTTGATTACTGGGGCAGATGGTGCTGTTTTTACATCAAAGAAAATAAAAGTAATCCAGTTTTATTCTCATAAATCATGTCACCACATTTAAGTTCGACCCCGACACCTTTGTGCTTTTGTTTACTTTGATTCTCCTCTCTCAAAAAAGTGACTTTGAAATTTCATTTTCATTTACAGCATCCTCATTATTTCTACCTTTGATTAAACATTTCTTCATTCCTGTGTTAGTGATTTGCTGTAATTATCTGTGTCACTACTGCTGCCAATGCTGATTTTACCATTTGTGACTATTGTTCTGTCCATGTTCTTCGGGTCTGTTTCGATTCAGGTGCTTATAAGAATGTTGAAAAAAATCCAACTAATCCATTTTGACATTTTGGGATATTTTGCTTTCATAACATGTCTTCTTTCTGAACATCCTAAATGCATATTTTGCTGTTAATTTTTACTAGACTTAGTCTTTTTGCATCTGTAGAGTTCAATCATAAACATCCATCCATTATCTATTCACCGCTTAATCCTCACTAGGGTCATGGGGGGCTGGAGTCTATCCCAGCTGACTCAGGGTGAAGGCAGGACACCCTGGACAGGTCACCAGTCTATCACAGGGCTACACTTAGAGACAGACAACCAAGCACACTCACATTCACACCTAGGGACAATTTAGAATCACCAATTAACCTCAACATGTTTTTGGATCTTGTGGGAGGAAGCCGAAGAACCCGGAGAGAACACACACTACACGGGGAGAACATGCAAACTCCACGCAGAAAGATCCCGGTGCCCCCACCGGGACATGAACCAGCGACCGTCTAGCTGCGAGGCAACGGTGCTAACCACTGCGCCACCTTGCAGTCCCAATCATAAACACACATCTATATCAATATCATTTAAAAAAAAATAATCTGAGCCAGAAATCTCCACCTCAGTCGCACTTCATACACCAAACTCTTTCATTTTATTTGTTTCTATATTCTGAAGTTTTTTACAGAGGGGTTTGTTCATATGTTATTAATAGCCAGATTTATAAAACTTTTTATACGTAAAAAACAGATTTTCTTTCTGAATGCCTTACAGTATTGTCTGATCTATCAAGGGATAAAACGAGCCATCCAAAAGCTCAACTGTAAAAACCTTTGACTCTAATATGTCAACAAAAAGAAACCATAATCCATGTAGGAGACATCTTATATCCAACAATCTCTACAACTTCTGGGTGAAAAATAATTGCATGTTCACAGATTTGGGAATTTTCAACAAGAGAGAAGAGGCCGATGTCATTTCAAGAATATATATTCAGGTAATTGAACCATATCAAAGTATTTTTCATATGGTGGTGGGTCCGGTGCTAAAGCGGATTGTCCACTAATCAAAAGGTTGGCCGTTCAATCCTCTGTCCTTTCCACATGCTCTTACATTTGAAGCTGCAAGCATCTTACATGGCAGCTCTGTCACCATTAGTGTGTTACTGCGTGTGAATGAGAAACACTGTAAAGCATTTAGAGTACCGGTAAGGTGGAAAAGCGTTCCATAAGTGCAGACCATTTACCATATGTCTCTGTCATTATATGTCTCTATATATAGAATCTGTACATAGATTACATATGTCATTGTAATCCCTGTAATTTCATTTTTCAGACCTGTTATTGTGCAGCCCACCTCTCTCCCATCACCACAACCTCCACAGTGGGAAGGGAGAATCATGTGAGAGGTTTTTTTTTTTTTTTTTTACTAATTTATCACCACCAGCATCTAGAGGGATTTCCTGTCCATTCTCCTGTTGTACGTGCAAGTACGCTTAATGAAGACGCATCAGACCGATGGGGTCTAATCTCTGTTGCCAACTTCAGTAAAAGCTGTTGTATTTTATAGTTTTACTGCCTGTTTCACATCATGACCAGGGGACTACAGATAAAAACTAGCCTTCTGGCTAATTCTGGCTTTTTTAACCATGTGTAATCATGTGTTTTATGAAATTGCGCTGTCCCCTTTTAAATAAACTAATAGTAATAGTAATTCTTCCAAATGATTTCTCTTTAATGAACAGTCTTTACACATTTCAACTGGCCTGTTCTGTCACTAAAGACACCCAATGATTACTGACACGCTGGATGTCATGCTGTGTATAAAACCATTAAACTAGTAAATTGCTGTTTAGTGAGCTCTGGGCAAAAGCCAAACCACAGATGCTGTCAAAATGTCCAAAAGCACAACGTGTCAAAGGCAACTGTACAGATTTTGACAAGAAAATTGTGCACTGACGCTGTCATCTATCAGTGGTTGGTGTCTGGACTGGGTGAGCAGTTTATAGATCAGACCTGGAACAACATTGATGGAATCCATCATGGTTTTGACGTCTGACAGGTCACCGAGTGGTGTGTTAAACTCAAGACGTGTGGCCAACGTCAGGTCAACGTCCTCTTTGGCGTACTCCTCGATTCTAGTGTTGTAAAGAAAAGAATACAGAAACAAGGGCTGAATTCTAGGAAATCACACAAAGGAGAAGCAGCTTGCGACGTGCCATTTAGATCACTGAAAATGTAATTAGTCATGGCCCCGAAAAAACGCTTCAAACTTAGGGTCCAAACTTATTCGCTTTTTCAGGAGCTTTCAACTACTTTTTGTGGTCTTTGGAGTTTGCTCAACCATCATGAAAACTGAATTATATGCAAAAAAAACCCAAAAAAAAACAACGATTAAGTGGACCTTAAGTAAGGGTTTTTATGGCAAAGTTCTCTTTCCAAGTCCCAAAAAAATGCTCAGAATGTATCTACTTAAAAAACTGTAGTGTGAAACTGTAGGAGAAAATAAAACACTTGGACACTGTTAACAGTTAGTTTTGAATGACACCACAGTCACACCATGCATACTCACTGAGCAGCATCATAGTTACCTCTTAATGGTGGGCATAACTGTCTGTAAATTTAAAAAAAAATCAATTGAACCACAATATAAATAACTGTAGATATACTAATCAATATTTCATATCAACAATAACATTAGCAATGTTGTGGGGTTTTTTTTTCCTACATCAGGGCTGTAGTTGCAAAATTGCCTACAGTAGTCATTTATCACAGCTGTAGCATTTTTTATGACTCGCTGAGGAGAATTGTGAACACCTTGAGGAAGAGCCTCTTGTCCTGGCTGCGGTAGATCTCCTGGGCCGTCTCAATGAGCTCCTTGGAGGAATCCAGAGCCCGACCACAATCCAGCAGCTGGTTGTAAAGAGCTTCCAGCTTGCTCTTCTTCTCCTCCTCCAGTCCAGCCGACCTCTCATCATATCGCTGAGAGAGCGTCTGCAGGACGTCATTGTAGTGCTGCTCCAAGTGCTGCTCTTGTCGGCCAAAATTCTCCTGCACAAACAAATATATGGAACACTAAAAGCGCATGTGATGAGTTCTAGGTGCGAAGCACAAGTATATGTGCATCCTCCCCTGGAAAAGTATTGTGCTCTCAAGAACATTTATTAAATTACTACCTCATAATTTGATAAATGTTCTTGGGAGGCATCTATACTAGTGTGCAGACTTTATTTTTCAAGGGGATGACACAGTTAGAGGTTTACATATTTGTTGCACGTTAAACAACATGTGGACACGAGGAAAACATGAAAAGAAGATGAGCTCACGAGAAGCAATCAATGGAACGGATGCGCTTGACTGACACGTGCAAGTTGCAGAACTGGATTCTGAAGATCTTTGAGTTTGAAAAAAAGAAAATAATAATAAAAAAGAAGCATTCCCAAATGCTAACATGACCCTGAAATAACTTCCATCTGTTTCCCCAAACCAGACTTTTGAGCATTACCTCCACAGTGAGAAAGATTTCCTCCAGATGACCTGCAAAGTTCTCCATCTCCACAACTTTCCCCTGCAGCCGATTCCTGATCGAGATGATCTCACTCTGAAAGTAATTGAAAGTCATATTTCAAGCCTTTCTGTTTCTCATCCCAACCAGTAACATAATCTATTATTTAGCCTTTGCTGTTAGGGCTTTGTGCTGGAAAAAAAAAAAAAAAAGATTTCATGTGGACAGCTCCATCTTCTGGGGCTTAGCTATAAAAAAAACTGTGACATTATAGAAGTTGGCCTATAGAGCTCAATAGAAATGTTTTAATGTGTAGTGTAGTGTTTTGTTAGGCTCATTCTAAGGTTTTGGAGACTGTTGGTTCTGTATTTATGTTGCTGTTTTCATCAAGATTTCTCATGGAAAATGTGTTTTCATTGCAACAAGGCTGAAAAGAGGTCAAATATAATAGGAAAATATGGACATTTTCATTCATACATCACATGCTTCAGCTGTGTTAGTGCCCCCACCTCATCGTTTCCCTCCTTAAACACGTCATCATCGCATCCATCCTCTGCTCCAGTGGGAGATGGAGTGCTGTCCTCACAGGGCTCAAAACGAAGGGACTCATTGGTGCCGACGGAGAACCTCTGGAAGGTGGAAACATCTCGGGCCGTCCTCCCTCCACTGTCTGCGGCCACATTGAACGTCTCCATGGTGGCCGACTCTCTGCTCAGCTCACCTTCCTCTGCGATCACATCCAGCCTGCCTCCTCTGATCTCATACAGGTCCATGAGGGCAGTGACTGTGGAAGGTTAAGGGTCATTTAAGTTTCTGACACAAGATCTGTTTACTGCAGCCCTCTCTGTAATTACATCAGTATATAAATCAATCACCAGTTTGAGTAATATTCTACAAACTGCAAGTAATATAACAAAAACGTTGTGAAAACTCCACTTGTCATACTTTTTACAAAGCATTTTGTCAGCACAGAACGATCTGTTAATGAAATAAGCATCTAATAACAAGTTTACCTTAATAATTCAGCAAGCCAATCTGTTCTAAACAACCATGTCGTACCAGTAGCTGTGTCTGACAAACCAGAGGAGTCCAACCCTCAAGCAAAAGCTGTGACAAAAATAGATGGGACTCAAATGCTCAAATGTCACAGGCATGCCAAACATCCATGTGGGGAAATTCTCTTTTTTTATAGACTAAAACACATAATTTAGACTAGTTAGAATATTAACTGCTGTTGACACTGAAAAAAACAGCAACAACTTATAATTAGTTCCAGTCTCAGTATTATTTAATTCTTTGATATTAGGTGGTGGAAATCCCCGAGCATGTGATTTAAAGGTCAAAGTTAAACCGAATAGCATGGACATTGTGGTGCCTTCATGAATCAACTTAAAGTGTGTAATTTTCCAATTCAAACGCTTTTTATTATGAAGAAATATCCAAACCATAACCAATCTGCACCTAGAGACTAAATCTCTTTCGTGACTGTTATTTTGACGTAAAAATCAATCAACACTGACTTGTTTTCATTAAAAAGAAGATTATTGAGGAGAAATTGCGTGTCATAAATAATAAGGGGGTGTTGTACTCAGTTTTTTTGGCTAAATAATGTCACAAAAGTACAAGTGTTCGGTTGTCGCCTTTGTGTTGCTATTGATTTTCAGCAAATGTGATAATAATGTAGATATATTACATTGTGAAATAAAGGTTAACGTGCATGTCGCGCCTGTTCCGACTATCTCTGAGGTCGGTGAACGCAGCTGACGTCACACAAATGGCGGACGTTGTAAACAGAGCCAGCAGCTTGTCGGAGGCCGAAGTGAAACGGCTCTTTTTAAGATGAACAGCTTGGAATATGAGCGGCTGGACAGTCTGGAGGGCTGGGTGGCGGTGAAAAGCAACATATTCGAGGAGAACGAGACGTTTAAACTGGGTTTTATCGTCCAGTGGAATGTCATTGAGTGTAAGTTCGCCGTCACCTGCCACAACCGGACGTTACAGCGGCAGAAACGCAAAGCCGAAGTTGGCGTCGGTGGCGACACTCAGATGAGCTGGGCTGGACTCTTCTCCGTCAGCGACCTGAAATACATCCACCAGCAGTTTACGTGCGTGGCAGACGTCCTGGGAGCCTGCTTCCCGGATTTATCTGAGTTTGAGGACGGCAACATTTGGGACCTGCTCTTCCTGAATCGGAAGAGCGGCGGCGGTGGCGAAGATGACGACGAGAGAGATTTTGATACTCCGTGTAGGAAACTGGAGAAGTATTTTAGCACAGCCATCGACATCTGCGGACGGAAGATTGTTCTGGATACTTTATTCACCCAGGATGAGAAGGACGTGGAGGAGTACTTTGAAAATCTGCAGGAGTTCAAAAGGAAGACCATGCAGGAGGAGATGTCAAGGGCCAAAGGTCACGTGAGGCAGGTGAGAGAGAGACCTCAGGTGTCCACGTTAGTACCACGATCAGATGACACTTTGTTTATTACACCTACAGCAACACTCTAACACAACATCCTGCAACACTGCGTCATACTGAAAGCTGTTCTGTCACTTCCTGTCACTTTCAGTTTTTCATTGTGCTGCATTGGTTAGTTCAGCTGTGCTTTGACAACATAGCTAAATATGATGCTGATGTTGGGTTTTGTTCATTTAAAATGTTCAATCCAATCAAATCGAGACAACCTGAGCTGCTCAAAGTGCTGCACATGTTATCAGGCAGCTAGCAGCAAAAAGAAAAAAAAATGCAAAAAAATCAAGGCGGGATAAACCTCGTAAAATCAATTTGTGACACTAAATCAAATCAGTACATTTAGAAAAACGGAAACTTGTACGATCACATTCAGAAATGCAATAAATAACATGTAACTTTAATTAATGTTGAAGAAAGTTCGAATGCTAGATAGATTAACATGAAATGCAGTGTCTAAAAAGTACAAAAGCAATAAGATGTAAGTACAATACATGAGTGAGATGTAATAAATAAGCTAAATTAGAGCTAGAATAAAACTTTAAACACTAATGCTGACAATAATACTGAGGTAATGACTAATATCTTACATGAAAATGAAATATTGCATTTGAAAAATTAGATGAAAACTGAAATCCAGCAGATTACATTGACATATAATATAAAATATGCATACAAATGACTAAAAACATTAAGACCATCAAGAGCAACCAAAGACTACTAAAAACAAGGAGGAATAATTGATTGAAAGAGGACGAAGACTCCAAGGCTTTTACTCTTGAACAGCGCTTTAAAAAAGCTCAACAATGTTTGCTTTGTTCCTGTCCTCTTTTACTCCTCTTACCATAGAAGAAGTCTATCTGTGATGCGTTTAAAAATCGGATTTATTAAAGCTTGTGAAACTTTTGTATGTAACTTCTGCTCTATTTTTTTTCCCCCTGAAATTTACATCTGTAATGTGCAGGAGTAGCACCCCGCAGTGGTGGTGTAGGTCTAAAAGCAGGCCTGCCGTGACACAGCAAAGCCTATCTGCTTCTTACAATCACAGCTTTAGATGTTGCAACGCTATCAGCAGCACTGATGTTTGTTTTCCAGCCAGTGAGTTTTGCCTCCCTTTTCGTATTCAAGTGATTTCAACACAAAGCTGTAACTTGACCCTTCAGTTGTTTGTTACACCAGTGAATAACGAGGTGAGAGACAACTGACACTATAATGACAGCCAGTATCACAACGCCACCTTTGAAGCTTAGAGATTTAAGACTGTGGACAACAAACAGTTGACCCTGTGTGTAACACACAAATACAGCGGCCCTGCAGTTCAGACAGCTATATTAAAATCCTATTACGTTTCATTGACGGTGTCAGAGAACAAGAGGTAGTTTATGGTGTTGCTTTAAATTTCCTTTATATCTTAAGGCAAGAGCAGCCATTGTTCATCAACTGCAGAAAGATGGCAGGTAATTATATACTACAGTTTAATCTTTGTTGTGCCAACCCCATGCTTCTTTCGTCTACACAAGATGAAGCCACGTGACCTGAAAAAGTCTTTTTTTCTTAACCAATATCTCACACACTACATCAGCTTAGCACATTTTCCACTGTACCTTGCAGCATTTTAGATATGGATCAAGCAGGCCTAGATGCAAACAAAGTCTGTGGTTCAAAGGTGTCATGAAAACCTGCTGAAAACCTTTCATATGAAATGGTTTATTAATACACAAATTTGAGGAGACAAATTTGTTTGGCCTCAGCCATCAGTGTCAGAGAACTGACTCCAGGAATCCCTGTGGTACAGAACCACTAACCTCATGTTGAAGTGGTTTCACAAGGCCACCTTTAGCCCACCCAAGCAGTGTTCTGAAAGGACTAATGTTGGCTGTTATGTATGTGTGCTGCTTGGATCTGATCATTGCAAAAAAAACAAACCAAAAAACAAAACTTTTCCTTGTAAAGACTTCTGTATTTTTTCATTTCATCTGAGGTATGAAAAGTCATACAGAGCAAAAACTAGGCTCAGGGCTCAGAATAAACCCAGGTGACGGTGTTTATGTCTTCCATATTTGCAGCTGCTACAAAGTCACAGCAGTGCCGACCGAATGGTTGGACTGCACAGCATTTATGAGGAGGAAGACGAGGCCTACCAGGAACTGGTCACTGTCGCCACCACCTTTTTCCAGTACCTGCTGCAGCCCTTTAGAGACATGAGAGAGCTGGCCTGCCTTTACAAGCTGGAGATCCTGGTAAATACAGACATATATTTAACAGCTGTGTTTTTTAAGGCTGTGTAAATGATTGTATGTAGTGGATGCAGTTTGCAATTTGTTTTGATGTTCAAATATTGAGTAAATTATCATCAGGAATTACAGGTTGTGGAATTTTCCTAATTTAATGCTAAGGTCTGCCTAAAGTTTTAATTAATGCAAATACTCATTTCAGCCCCAGAACTGTGCACCACTGATGCTATTTATCAATCAGTAATCATTGAAGGTTCAATTTAGGTAATAGCTGTTTCATTTGTGGCTGCTGAGTAAGAAGTAAGAATGAAATCCCTGGGTGTAAACGTGTCCACTGCTTCGCTTACCTCGCTTGTCTGCAGAAGTCTTTGGAGTTTGAGGACTTAGGTCCTCGGAGGATTGCAGCTCTGGAGAAGGAGGCGGAGGAGTGGAGAATGAAAGCAGAAGATGCAGTCGCCTCAATTCAGGACATCACTGTCACCTACTTTGCACAGACTTCAAAGGCTCTGGCTGGTATAAGTTGCTGTGTTTATTCCTTTTACTTGTGTCTTGATCATTTAATGATGTATTTTTATGTGTCACACAGGGGAGAGATGCATAGCAGACTCACAAGTGTAATTGCAGCTGCAGCCAAGCAACATATTAATGACATTATTTAATATTCAAATAATCATTAAGTCAAAATGAAATACACATTGTCATTTTCACGGGAACTAGTGTTCATAGTCAGTTCAAATGAGTTTTGAGATATAGGCCAAGTTCTAAAAACAACAGCATTGCGGGATTATTTTTGTAAATGCAAGAAAAACAGAGGAATTAAGGTGGATTTGGAAATGGTATCTATATTCCCAGTTGTTTGATAGCCATCTATCTTTTTGATATTTTAAGGATTTCAACCTTCTTCGAGAAAAAAAACGATGTTCAAAAGTAAATGTTTCATATAGGTATAAATGCATCAGTGCAAGTTTTATGCCTGCAGACTCACTTCTGATTTGAAGTGACAAAATTAAACCTGTATACTGCTGGTGTGTTATAAAGGCACTGTGGTGAATATTACCAGGTGGCACCACAAGGTTCAGAAAGTGGAAGCAGCAACAACAAAAATGTATCGCATCAGCTTCTAGTGCTGTCTTTTAATACGAAATGTTGTGTTTCAATATCATGTTAACATTTACTATATGCGCTTCTGTGTGATGCGAACAGACCCAACAGATCCTTGTGTATATGTCCAGGTATGTTAAAACAGATGGAGGAGGATAAGTGTCGTTTTGGACCTGCTGCCTGGGCATCTGCGGCTCCCAGACTGGAGAAGCTGCGTTTCCTATTGGCCAAAGAAACCCTGCAGCACATGAGAGCTGCAGAAATGTGCCTGAGCCGCAAGAAAGACGGCATCAGAGAAAGGGTGTGTGTCTCAGTGTTTTTTTTCATTAACATTTAACAGCTTTTCTAGTGGTTCTGTAATTAGTCTGTACAGCGTATTGGAGTCTGACACAGTTGTAAGGCTTTAGCTTTCATTCATGACTTTATTTCAGTGCCAAGGCCAAGCCTGCTTTTGTAGTGACTGTGACTCTGTAGAGATGTGACACAGTGTCTACTTGCTCTCGTGTATCTTTCACTTGGTATTCCAGGCTGATGTGAATCTCTGGCTGCTATAGTCCTTTGATCTATTTATAAAGCCTCTCTAAAAACACAGAGAATCCCCTCGATACACCCCCAAAAAACCTGCATGCATGAATAAGTGAGTCTGTCTGTGTGTATGCACGGACTTTAAACGTGCCCTCTGTATGCATATCTGTGGCAGCATGTGGGTATATTTCTAATGTCGGGATCACAGTATTCGGGGAAAACTGCTGTGAATTACTTGCTGCTGCAGAGTGTCACGCTGCGCATTTTGAAATTTTGGAAGAGAAAAGAGAACACCTTCAGCACCTTCACCTTCATGTGGCTGCATTATTCATCCGATTAGGCTTTTTAAAAATCCGGGTTGAAGATACTGGCAGCATCTCGCACTGTGAAATCAACGTGAGCCTTTGCATTGACAGCTGTGTGAGTGTGTTCATAATGAGATCAGTGAGCTGCACCTACGCAAACTCTTACACTGGTGACAACATAACTCGGTGCCCGCTGAGTGCACCGGTGTCCCTGCAGATGCCACAGTGTGACACCTTTGCATTAAGTGCGTGCGATTTGCACGTATCACCTCAATCTTTGCAGCTCTTATGTCACATCCAGACAGTCTGTGTGTGAACGTTTGACATAATTCAGAGCATTTAAAGACATACATTTTCTTTGATTGTGTCAGTTCATTAACTATCTATATCAAGCATACGTTCATTGCAGGTAGCAGCTGGTTTCAGCTCATTTCATCACAGTGTGAAAGCCTACAGAGATCAAAATCACAAACCCTTTATTTTTCTATCAGATTTAGTTTTAGTTTTTTCACCTGGTAGTGTCGTTGAGAGCAAAGCCTATTTGGATCATCATGCTCAAGGACACTCTTTCATCCAGAATTTAAGTTGGCTGTCAAAAAGCATTGCATCCATTTCCAACTGTGTCAAGAAGTATTTACAGTATGTACATAACAGTTGATTTTTTTTCTCCCACAAAGCCACGAGTATTATCCTTTAATGGGGCTGACTTAACAATGTTTTTTGCGGTGCAGCTGGGGAGCCTGTCTGGCAGCAACCACAGCCAGAGAGATGATTCCAGGTCTGTGTTCGGGGACGGCCAGCAGCAGCAGCAGCCGGACACAGTGGACCAGCTGGAACTGCAGTTCTATGAAATCCAACTAGAACTATATGACGCCAAGTTTGAGATCCTGAAGAACGAGGAGCAGCTGCTGGTGGCTCAGATAGACACCTTGCGACGGCAGATTAAAGGTACGCTTATAGTATACTTGAGGAAAAGTGGAGGATGCATCTGGCTAGAGGGAGTTTTCAACTTTTGAGCATATTCAAATCACTGTGAAAGATGGTAATTTACTGATACAGTCCACTAGAAAACACTTAAAAAGCATTAATGTAAAGATATAGAAAGCCCTCTGTAATTAAAAACACATCCCCTTGAATAACATCGTAATACCAGAAGCTTCAGGAACAAAATATCCGAGCAGAGCGAAAAAGCTTAAGGCTGTGTCACCTTGTGAAACTGCTATTAAAGTATAAAGGTCCTCGCAGGTATTACCCTTTTTGCCAGTTTTTAAATTAATGGAGTGAATGATAATATGAAAATCGAAACCCTTGAACAGTATAATGCTTTGCAGTATAAAAGCCCTGCAGTTAATACGAGCTTACATAAAGGGTCTTACCACAACTTGTGTGCCTATCTATTAATTTATTATTTGCCTGTCCACATTTTGGCAAGTTGGTACTATAGTAGCTATTAGAGTTTCTCATTTGTAATGTATTCACAGATAGCTATCGCTGGATTGCTGTAATACCGAAGAAAATGTCAAAAAAAAAAAAAAAAAGATTATTCTCAGCCAAGTTCTGAAGTTGTAAGGAGCATTATTTTTTTCTTTGAAATGTTTTTGTCAGTAACGCTGATTCTAAAAATATGTGTATCATGACTGTGGGTTCAGATTTAACTGAGTTGAGGATCTGACAAGAACAATTCTGATCAAAACTGCAGCCGTTCAGGGTTTTTAAAGTTCTTTAATGGCCTCTGTGAGCTGCATGTTTCACCCTCTGATGCTGCTTCGACCGCTGACCGTGTTAACAAGCCGGCCAAGTCAGTGGACAATGCTGCAGTAACTCCTGCATTCGGCTCACGCAGTATCTTTGCTTCACATCTCTCTATCTCAACACTCCCGCAACCTCCTGTGGAGTCACACCCCACAGTTTGAATACCCTTGGCATATTTTCTTTTCTTTTAATTCAGTTAACTGACCCTTTAAAATGCTTACCTGTTTGTTTATTCAAGTTGACTCAGCAAATTGCAACATACGCTAGAGCTTTATTGAATTTTATCCTCCTCACATGAGCAAATATTCTTACAAAATAAAACAACACCTTACTGCACAAACCACAGAGCCGATTTAACACCTTTCTAACACAGCGTAAATTACGATTAAAGTCACACGTTGCACAGTGTTACGCCCCTCCACATGAAGGGGTTTCTGTTTTTCTGGTCACTCAGTGTTTTGTGTAAAGGGTTTACTTTGGGGAAATACTGTATTTTGTTCATGTAAATATTTCCCTAATTGCTCCTCATGGGACCTGAGATGTTTGTTTCCAAGGTGTGTGTATGTACACGTCGGTTGTCTGCCTGTCAGTGTCTGTGGTGACTTTGGTTGTGTGTATCTTCATCTTTTTGGGTTTTAAGGATTATTTTCTCAGCAGGAATGTGTCCTCAAACGGTCACTATTCAGCAAAGACGGTGGGAGGACACTGAAAAATATGAGATCTTGCAAATTAAAGGAGGTTCCTGAGTTTATGGAGCCTGTCAAAAGAGTTCAAAGTCTACAATGGAAATAAAATGCACAACGACCAATTGGCCACAGCGCTTTTCTAATGCCCTTGTCGGAAAATGTAAATAATTTCATTAAAAATTCACTTCTGGTTGTTGCAGAAATTCTTTTTCACTCAGTTTGCACAGGACGATATGCAGACCACCTCGTTTCTTGTAAAGATAAAGACATACTTTATATGCACAAAAATGTTATAAATTTAGGAGAGCATTAAGAAGAGAAATATAAAAGATAAGACGAAATGTTATTTATCCCAAAGGAAATTCTTGTTCCAGATATTGCTCAGACATATCATAAGAAATGCAATGCCTTGTAGAGAAGCAATAAGATATAAGTACGATAAATTAACTAAACTAAACTAAAACTAGGATAGAAAAGTCAAACATAATGCTGGCAAACATACTGAGGTAATAAGTAAGATAACGCACACTAACATAGTGTTGTGTTTATTAAATCTGCACTAGTCAGATTACTCCAAAATCTCCAGATTATACAGGGTTGGTCAGTAATGAACAATAGTTTCCCAACCTGGGTCATTGTCATGCAGAGCACATTAGAAACCTGGTTAAGTGGTCCAGGAATTGTTTTTATTGCAGTAATTTACTTTTGTTAATGAGATTTCTCTTAACCTGATAAAGAAAACTAGGTTTCTTGTTAACGGGTTGTTTCAGAGCTACCCTATGTTTACGACTAAAACGGGAAATAATCAGATTTCATGTAACCTGCACAACTACGGCTGACATCAAAGTGAGACCCGGGTCAAGCTGTGATCTGCTTTGTGGGAACTTTAAATAGCGTACATCCACAGAACACAGTTCAAGTTTACACTGCTGAGACTTTGTGGTGACAAAAGAGAATTTGGTTTCAAAAATAATGTCTGAAGGGACATGAAATTAACAAGTGCGATTACACGAGTCGTAAGAATGCCTGGTGAACATCTGAGGACGGATCAGAGTGACTGGACTGCATTTGTGTTTCAGAACTGAGGGAGGAGGTGGTGTACTATGATGTGTGCGAGGATCCAGAGGAGCTGCAGAGCCTGGTCCACACAGGTATTCAACAAGCAAACTCTCCAGCTGTCAGTCAGCTCAAGAGACGCCTACAGACCCTGGAGACCAAGCGAGGCAACATCTGTGCCCGGCGGGCTTATCTGCGCAACAAAAAGGTGCAGGGGCAAGACAATATTTTATCTCACATTCTTTAAAAGTGATTCATTTTTGTGGTTCTTTCTGTGAAAAGTAGATTGGAAATAATCTGAAATGATACTAAAAGACAGTGCCACTGTCCTCATCCCCTCCATGTCCCCAGTTGCTCCGTTTAAAATATTTTTATTGTTTTCTTTTCATGTGGTACAGTAATTTAAGTAGCTGGCATCTTCCCCTCCTGCTGGCTCTATGCGCTTTTGTCTGATTAAAAAACACTTTATTGCTCATAGCAAAGTAGGAAGAATACCCCAGTTAGAAGCTCCCACAAGTCATCTCCAGTAGTCCACAGGGAGCAAGAGTCACATGCATGGAAATTTAACAATGCAGTAAGAAAAACAACAATAGGATTTTTTTTTAAAAAGCCCCCCGAATTAACTTATCATCTGTTTCAATGGCAATTTCAGGATGTTGGAAGCCCGATTTACTCAAGCACTCACTGATTCTGTCTGTGGTGTGTACATGCCAAACTGCGAGTGTTTTTTTTTTTGTTATTTTTTTTTATTCAAGCCTATAATTGATATTGTGTGTGTGTGTGTGTCTCTAGGATCAGTGCATGGAGGCCAATGAGCAGAAGCAGCTGGCAGCCAAGCAGAGCTCCATAGTCTTCAATCAGCATCATCAGGTCCACCTGGTACGTCACCACAGCAACGAGACAACCCACAGAGATGCTCCCGCACCGGCAAATGAAACCGGATCCAATTCTTTCTCTCTAATAGCTCTCACTGTCTCCCTCTGTTGTCTGCAGAAACGGGAGAAGAGGAAAGAGGAGGAGCAGAGGAGGAAAGAGTGGGTGGACCAGGAGCGAGAGAAGACTCTGAGCAGATTACGATCCTTCAGAGAGGTCAGGCTCACTCACTGTCTTTGCTCAGCCTCCACATCTGTAAATACAAACCCCAGAGGCTCCTGCTTCTTACCCTCTTAATTTCACAGTTCAACTCAAAATTAAAACTTTGTCATTACCTCCTCAAAGCTCACATTAGAAGACGTTCTGATAACCTCATGCGGCGGATGAAGGCAGTGAGCTGTCCTCTTGGTGCAGGCAGGAGTTGAGCTTTCCCAGAAATAAAAAAAGCTACATTTTAGACATTTGTTTGGGAGCAGAACTGTTGTGGTGAATCACTGGACAAGCTGCTTCAGCAGAGATTCACTGGTCAAAACTAATATCATCAACTGATGCTGAACACTCAGCATTTTTATTTTTTTTTTTAAGCAGTGATCCCTTTAAATGATGTTAAAAACCTGACACTGATGTTCTGGTGTCCCCTCAGGATGAACTGTAATAACTGTCCTCTGATTTTTCATCAGTGCCACAATGAGAGCAACATTTCAATATGCCCATAAAAGTAATGACATATTTGTCAGCTTCAATGTGTTCATTGCTATTTAGTAAATATTAACACACTAAACTGCAGTTGTGGTCTTGGGAAACATTCCACCTGCTTTACATCAGCATGTTAGCATTTTCATTATGAAGATGTTATGCTGACGTGTATTTAGCTCAGCTCAGAGATCTTAGCTCTTCTAGCCTCTTAGGATATGACTGAGTACATCTGTATGACTGAAATAGTTGTTTAAATTAGCACTTTATTTGAAGAATGCATGGGATGCAGCTCAGGAATA